AAGGCATTTATGTTTATTTTATATCTTTACACAAATTATGTGCCTTTCATTTCTATTTAAAACTGAGCGGGTTGTTTTACAAGGTAAGGGTTTATAATCACTTTAACAAAATAATAAAGGACACTTCAAAAGCTTTTAGTCTATACACCTTATCTTAGGTGGCCATGCTTTATTGGTAAAGAATCCTCATGATTCATGCGGATGCTGTAGTTTAAAGGATACGTTCACCTTTAGGAACAAGTTACATAATCCACCCATCCCACTGCTGTAGCCTCTCCCCGATCAGCTGCCTCTAGTGACAATAAGCTGGGGATTTCCACCCCAAACTTGCGGTCACAATTTAAAAAAAAAAAAAAAAAAAAAAAAACTCACTCACCAAGTTCTGTTAATGGGAAAACTACAACTACCGTCAGCGTTTGCAGCTGATGACTTCAATGAACAACCGGAGCGCTGTTGAGTGCTCTTGTAGTTCATTGATGGTTCCTGTCACTGTGTAACTGCCTGCTTGTATGAGACAGCGTACACTGACAGTCTGCAGGAGCCTTGCAGTGCACACAGCATCTGCTGATATTGGGTCCAATGCTTTACAGGCTCCTGATAAGAAAGAAAAAAAAAAAAAACCAACAAATGCACATTTTAAAATATTGCAAAAATATTTTTTTTTCTTCTTCAAGGTGAACTTATCAGTTTTGGACAACAAGACACCCCTACATTTGTGAGATCAATTGTTCAGTTTTGATCTTGAACACCACAAATATCACAAACAACCAGAATCTTTGTACTGACTGCAAACCTTGTTGTTAAAAGTGGTTTATTGTGAAAAAACAAAACAAAACAGAACTACTAAAAATGAAAGTAAAAGACTATGTAAGGCAGATCCACACCCAAAGATAAATGTGGGTAGGGCACAGAAAAACAAACCAAGTGTCAAAATAGTATTACGGTTATATCTGCTACGATAACAACTACACGCTTAAAAGTTAACAATTTCAAATATAATGTACACCGCAAAACAAGTGTGTGGATTAGTATCATTTGTTATTGTCAGAGTAAATGATATATGTGCTACACAGTAACCAGAGTTCCTGCTGCTATTATCCTCTCTGCGAGATGAGCCACATATTCAATAAAGATATCTTATGTTTAATGCAGACCGTCACTAGAAGCTGCAATAACATTAAAGCCAGACTGATAGAAAAAAAAAAAAAACACACCTTGCAGTGGGCTGCCTGACTCCCCATCCCTTTCCTGGACGTCAATGCCCATTATATAAGGGAAGGGGGTAGAGGAAAGGCTGTATGATGTATCTTACCCCTCACTCCAGCACTTTCCTCTTCTCTCCAGGCTACGGGTTGGTCAGAGTCATCATGTACAATGCCATGGACTCCACTGCTTCAGTATTTTTTTCTTGTGCCGGGAATTGAGTGTTAAAACAGTATTAAACCCAAACATTTACTATATTGCAGCTTACCAAACTTTAGACGTGGTGGATGCATTTGTTTTCTTTTTTAGGCTTTTGTACCCTTAGCTTTCACCTTGTGATCTGGCCAGGAACACACCTCCTGTATTACATTGCCCTCACTCTGGATGAAGGAGCACAGGCAGCACATTTGGACTGCACCATTGTCAAATTGGGGGGAGGAGAGTGTTAGATGTACTAGCAAATTCAAATACACTAACAAATTGAAATCAAACTTCAGCTGACACTGCAGCTACATAAGCAGTTACAGCTTTTTTTTCATTTTGGGATAAAGGTTTTATACAAATAAACACTGATCACTGTAAGCACCCCTATCAGTGTTAAATGTTTTATCTTATCTATTTTAACTGTTACCTCTGCAGAACTTACTGGCTGTATCACAAGATGGAAAAAAAAAAGCCCAAGAAGAAAACTAATGCAGCAACTATATCTAAGAATTGGTAAGTTGCAATAGAATAAAATTTTTTTGGATTTAACACCGTTTTAATGTTTTTCACCATGAGTTTAATGAGTTAACCTGCTGTCACCCATCTAATGTATATGTGCGGTGGTAAAGATGGTGGGCTTTAACATCCACACATATGCAACAGCTCCCAGTCTCAGTAAAGATTGGGATCTGGCAGGACTGGCTCCAGATCATGGGGCCACTGTGACAGCCAATCACACTGGTTACATGATCAAGCCTAGGTAAGAATGGCATAGCTTTACTGCCTGCTGACACTTGGGGGTTTATTTACTAAAGCTGGAGAGTCCAAAATCAGACTCCCTTCTGCATAGAAACCAATCAGCTTCCAGGTTTCATTGCCAAAGCTTCATTGAACAAGCTGAGGTTAGAAGCTGATTGGTTTCTATGCAGAAGGGAGTCTGATTTTGGACTCTCCAGCTTTAGTAAATAAACCCCTTGGGATCTGAACATCATATATTCCAGAAGCCTTCAGTGATCTATGTAGGTCTATGAATGAAGGATGGTGGATGAATAAAAGGTCTGCCTGCTCTGTCCATAGATTGCTTTTCCTTTATTGAAGCTATAGTATGGCTTCTATGAAAGGGAGGAAGCGCTTGCATGGTTGGTATGCTCGATAAGTGCCTGTCACAGGTTCAGCGTTGATATTAAACCCAAAACTAAAAATGTAATATATTGTAGCTTACCAATCATTAGATGGCTGCATTAGTATTGTTCTTTTAGGCTTTTTTCCCCCTGGTTATCAGGTAACACATCTCCTGTATTAGAGTGCCAGCCCTCTGGATGAAGGAGCCGGGGGGCACAGCAGACAGCAGCATTGTTAATCTGGGGGAAGGGGAGTGTTAGACATACTAGAAGATTTAAATACACTAACAAATGGAAGCTAAACTCTAGCTCCCACTTTATAATCTGTTACAGCAAACTTTCTTTTTCTTGTGCGGTAAAGGTTATACATGAAGACAGAAAAAATAATAATTGTAAGCACCCTGTCAGTTGTAAATGGTTTGTCTCAACCCTGTAACTGCTACAACTGCAAGGGAGGTTGTTCTGTTGAAAAACAACAACTTATGGCCAGATCATCAGGTGAAAATAAAAGGAGAGCCTAAAGAAACTAATACAGCAATCACATCTCTAAGAATTGGTAAGCTGCAATACAATGAGGCTTCTTTCACACAGATCTGTTTTTCTTTCGCTTTTGCATTACATAAAGTGGAAGAAAAATGTGTGAACATGTAATCCTATAGAACTCTTCACACTGATCCATTGCGGGTCTGCTGAATTTTTTAAAATGCAGCTTCCTGCATGTTTGGTGCAGCAAAAGTGCATAACAAAAAAAAAAAAAAAAACGCCAAACCCACATTGTGTTTTTGAGTCACATTTCCTGTGTAAAACAGACTGCAAACATGATAAAAATGCAGCAAAAATGCATATGGGTTTTTAGCGAATTGTTGCTATGGATCAGTGTGAAAGAAGCCTAAATGTTTACTTTTGGGTTTAATACTGCTTTATCCCCCACAGCACTGATAGGTTGTGACTGTTAGTCATAGGAGAGGAAAAGGGAACTTTGGATTTCCACTATAACAGCCAGTGCTAGCTGTGTGCCAGGACACTTTGGATTAAAGTAGAACTTCACCCTCTTTATGCTGCTAACATTAGTAAGTAGATAGGAAGGTATAATATATTTACTTGTTTTAAACAGTTTTTTTTTACATTTCTTTAGTTACTTCCTGGTTACAATGCCTACGTAAATGATGTCCTACATCCCAGGAGACTTCAGGAGGGGAGAGGGGTTTTCTCAGCTAAGCACACCCTCCTATCTGCATGCCAGTGCTAAGGGCAGATGCATTCCAGCAAGTAAATGCTACACGAATCATCTACCCTTACTCAAGATGGCCATGGCCAAAAATGCTAGGGGGGTGTTTTTTCAAAGTGCTTTCTCAGCAGAAAAAAAAAAAGCATGGAGACATGGATGGATGGGTGCATTTGCTCTGAATATTAAAAATAAATTAATTTGCGTTTTTGGTGCTCAGATACAGTGTAGTTCTGCTTTAAAGGAGAAGTTTGAAAAATACATAAAAAAAAAAAACATTTATATTCACCTCCATGCTGCAGCATCAGTCTGATGCTACAGCTGCCCCCCACTGGCTCTAAGCCTGAGAACTGAGCGATCAGATGACCGCAGTTTGCTCATTTCTTGGCCTGCTCAGAGTGGCGACTGTCAAGTCACTGCTCTGCCACTCCAGCGCTCGCTCAAACAGGCAGCTGGGTGGATCCAGACAATATGGTCGGGAGCAGCTCGGAGATGTCAGCTGACAACGGGCTTTAGCTGATTCTGGGTCAGAGGAGAGCAAACGTAAGTGCACACCCATGATCCACAAGAGATGTAAGGCCAAAAAAACGCTCTAGCCATTGTTCTCTTTTAGAATGTAAGTAATGCCCCCTGTGCTGATTTTTTAGAACTTTTTTCCTCCTAAATATAGGCTTAAATCAGGTAGCTGTTCAGAATTCCACCTGCTAAAGTGACCCCAGTGGCAGATGGGTGGTGATGGTGTGCCAGCTTCCAGCTAATTCGTGGAGGTAGCCCAATCACACAACATAGAGAAGGGAACTACCATAAAGGCATGCCCTGTGTCCCTTCAGGGCCATAAAGGTAGGTGGCCACAGAACCAGAAGAGCGGCGTGTACCTAAGCTATCATGTGACCCATGCTTCCTCTTACCTGCCGCGGTTCCGAAGCTCCGCACCTGACTCAACCTCTATCAGCAGCCCTTCAGCTGGAGCGTCACTTCCGTAAACATGGCGACAAACAGACGGGAATGGGCCAAACACAGGCAGTCAGCAACGCTTACCTAATAGTACCCCATGGGCCTAGGACAGGCAGCTGCTGAGCAGCCCCTACAGTGTACAGCGGACGCTGCCGATGCAAGCTCGTTCGCCAATCAGCGGGAAGGAGGTGTGTCTCCTAACAGGGAGCCAGGAAGGTCGCAGGAAGCAAGGCGTCACTTCCGGACGGGTTGCGGAGTTCTAGCGTGGGAACTAAAGAGGTTAGCAAGCGAGTATGGACGTGAACGGGCCGGACAGTGACTGGCGGAGTGCGGGCTTCAGGCAGAAGCTGGTCAGTCAGATGTAAGTGATGGTCTCCGTCTCCTCTTGGGTTCCCAGGCCTCTTCCTGAGTGAGTGCGGGGTTCCCCTAGAATGTGAGGGGGCGGCGCGTGTGTGGAGCTCCAGTGCTTTGTTGGAGGAAATCCTATGATTCTATGGATACATTCTTGCCGTTCGCCTGTAGATGACCGCCGTGGTTACTATTCCTTGTAGGGCTTTGGTGGACTGTACTTCCAGCCATGAAGAGTTAATCACGCTGTAAAGGCTGCTAATAAATCACTGATCGCCGTAAAGCGAAACTAAACCCTCCGATCCTTTACAGCCATCTTGGCCTCTATTTCATCTGCAGTTACCATGGTGCTGCACATGTTAATCAAATGACTGTTCTAACACCAGACATTTCATGGTTTGAAAATTAGATTGAGCGACAAAAATAAAGCAAGTGTGGCAGTTATCATTCACGGAAGTCCATGGCTGTAACGGTTTTGGAAAACAGTTAAATTAATGGGTTTAGTTCTACTTTAAACCACTTGATGACTGCGCTGTAGCAGAAAGATGACTACAGCGCAGCTCTCCAGTCCTCCTGTTTGCCCCCTGGGGCGTGCTTTGTGAACGCTTTTTTGCCAGGCGCCAGCATGTAATCACTGGCCAGGACCTGGTGATTGACGGTTGCGAATGGTGGCGCGGGTATGGAATGCAGCCCCCCTACACGAAAAGGAAAAATCACGTGTATATATGTGTGATTTGCGAACCCCTGCCACCCTTTAGCAGTATTTCTACTATAGGGTGGTTGGGAAGTGGTTAATCAAACTTTTTGGTCTTTTTTTTTTTTTTTCGTTTTGGTTAGCAAAAAAGTAAAAACCCCGTGGTGAATAAATACCACCAAAAGAAAGCTCTATTTGTCTCAAATGATCAAAATTTCATTTGGGTACAGTGTTGCATGACCGCGCAACTGTCATTCAAAGTGCGACATCGATGAAAGCTGTAAAATAACCTAGGCAGGAAGGGGGTGAAAATGCCCGGTATTGACGTGGTTAAAGTAGTTGTAAACCCTTACATATACCCTGTGAAGTGACTAGCTGCGCTCGGGATTACCCTGCAGCATTTCTCAGGGATTCCCTCTATCACTTACCTTGTCCTGCGCTCCCGCGATGTCCCCCCATGCAGCGTTCTGGCCGATGCCGGGATCCGGGTTCCATTCCCTGTGAGCGTCAGGACGTACGGGGGACAGAAAAAATTTTAAAAGTGACATTCACTCAATACACTAAAATCTCATTGTAAAACATTACTGTATCAAAGCATTTCACATACATTTTGTCCCGAGTGCTCTGTCCTGTGCCCTGCCTGCTTTTTTACTGTTCTTTCTGCCTGGAAACTGAGAAAAGTCCATGGCGTCCAAAAAGCGTCCCTTTAGGTCAAAAGCGGTTTTAGACCAGCTAGAGAACAGCGATAGTAAATCAGAACCACTTGCAGAATTGAGTGATGATTCGTGGGGAAATTCATCATCAGACACTGAAAACGATTTTGCGACTAAGCTTAGTGATGTGCGAACTTGGCGCTCTATTTCAAATTTCAGTGTTTTTGGTTTGATTATATTATTGAATTAAATTTTTAATATGATATTTTTTTTATGATTATTTATTATATTATTTATGATTTCGTGTTTAAAATTTTATCATACCCGGGATGTTTACTAGACTCTTGTTCGGACAGATTTCAGTGAGTTAGTCCTAAAAATTACAGCCTACAATAAAAAAAAAAAAATAACACATTTCCATGCAAAAAAAATGTACCGCTTTGAGCACAGAAATACCGCTAGGGAGGTTAAAGCAAAACTAAACCCTCTTAATCTTTACTGTCAGGAAAGCTGCCATCTTAGCCTCTGTTTGAGCTGTAGGTGCCATAGTCAGTTATGACGCCAGACATTTGATAGCTGGACAGTTTGTTTGAGGGAACAAACACCTGTGACAGTTATTCATGTAAATACTAAAGAACAAAAAACCTCTTGTATTCACCAGTTATTCATGGCATACCTTGAAAGTTACAATTTTGATAAACCGTTAAATAAGTGGGTTTATTTCTGCTTTGGCCCCTTTCACATAGGTGTTCAGTCTAGATCCATTTGTCAGTTTTTTCAGATAGATCCAGACTGAAGCCCAATGTCTGTCTATGAGTGGTTGTATGTAAACAGATGATCATCCGTTTACACCCATCTACATCTGTGTCTGTTCAGGTACATTTTTTTTTATTTTTAATAAAGAAACAAGGCTGTGTCCTTTTTTCATTTAGAAGGAACTAAATGGATGTGAATGGATGTCATTCGTTTATGTCCATTTCATTTACATCCATTTTTAGGCAAGAAACATTTTTTGTTTATACTTTTGTCAACTCTTATTGGTCTCTGCAACAACTAAGGAAAAACAGATACAAAAACGGATGTAGACTGATGTAAACTGAACTGAAGACAGATGTGTAAACTGAATCTTTTTTTTTTTTTTTTTTCTTTGACTGAACCGATGATGCACATGTGACAGGAGCCTTTAAAGGAAAACTGATCACAAATGAAGCACTATGGCAACTGCAAATCAAACGGAGGCTAAGATAGCAACTTCCTCAACTGTAAAGGATAGTTGGGTTTAGTTCCACTTTAAAGCAGAACTAAAGATAAAAAAAATAGAAATGTTAAACGGACAGGGTCTTTATTATGGGGGAGACATGCAATGTCTCTTCTGCAATAAAATAGCTGTCTGTTTACAGTCTTCTTTAGAATGTACTGTGTGCAGCTCAGTTTATATCCTCGCGTACAGCCTGTGTGTGCCAGAATGACTGTATTCCTGCGCGTACATGAGTGACGTCATCCTGTACTGGCCAATCTGCTCAACAATCAGAAGAAGCTGGGGAGAAGATGATGGCAAGGGACTTCGCAGGCATGAAACTGTTGGAACTAAAGTAAGTAGTTTTGCTTTAGTTCTGCTGTAAAGACTAACTTCAGTTGTAAATAAAACCCCAATAAGTCAGCAGTTACTGTAGCTGCTGACTTTTAGGAAACAAGCACCAGTCCATGGAGTCCAGCATTGTCTTTCTCGCAGCTTGTTCTTCGCTGGGCTTTGGCTCTCAGGTGCTGCCATCTTGAATTTTGGAGCTGGCTGTGACTTAGTGATGTCTCATAGCTGGCTGCCTACTTCACGCGTGAGGCATGGCAGTACAAGGAGACTGGTCCTGCAGCCTCCTGGGATAAGGCACCCTGGTTGGGTGGCAGGGGGTGGACCAGTACAGGTCAGTCTCACCCAGGTGAAGATTGAGGAAGTGGGGATGGGTACCTGTCAAAAAAAAGTACTTGTGGCATGCACCCCCCCCCCCCCCCAAAGAAAATCTGCAGATGTGTTAGTGGCAGGAGTGAGAAAGAGCTACACTTTGCTTTTCAGGTGAGGGTCCACTTTAAAGCTCAATACCGAGTATTTTCAGGAGTACTTGTGAAAATGCTCCTGACCAATACATTTCTGTGTAATCTGTGTCAGTACAAAATGTATGCACACAAAGAATAGCATATGGTCTGAACAGGAGTGCGGTGTAATTCCTGTTCAAAGAACCTCCCTGCATCAATTCCATGCTGTCACACCAGGAACAGGTGGGGATTTGAAATCCCTGGGGCTTTTTCTCCTCTCAGTGCAAGGGTGACAGTACTGGCTAGATGGCTTTTTATTGGTCAGCACCATCATGGTGCTGACCAAGCAGAAGCTGCCTATCCTGTACTGTCATCCCTGCAAGGAGGGAAGAGAGAACCCCGGGGATTTCAAATCCCCAGACCTGTGAGGTTGCTTTCTCTCTCCTCTCCTTACTTAGAAAAGTAAGTTTATCTTCATGTTAATGAAAGCTTCCCTGACAGTTTAGCAGGTTTCTTAATTCTGACCTTGTCCGATGGCCAGAGAACCAGGCTCGAAAGACCTGGGTGTGCCAACAATGGAAAGAGGGGAAGAGAAATTAGCTGGCATTTCTTTAGACTTCATAAGCTGAAGCAGGTAAATTCTTTGCCCTCCAGTGAAGTCCTTGAAAATCATGTCAAGGATAGGTCTGAAGAGACATCATCCCTCAAAAACCAGAAGAGTCAGGTATTCCTTGGACCTCATAGTCAGAGATGGTCACTACAAATGTGGGGCCAGCTGCCTCTGAGACAGTGGGAAGATCAGCAATAGACTTTGTAGAGGTAGGTGCTGAAGTACAATCAGGCCCTCTGGGACCAGGGCCAGTAAGGAACTGGGTGGATATGACTTTTACAGCAAGGCTAACTGTATAGCTACTGGAAAACAGGATTGTAAATTGCAAACTTCAGTACCTTCAGAAGGCACAGAGCAAACATCCCCAAAATCATCCGGGAAGTATTTACTGGGGTCATCCATTGAAGTGGGACATTCAAATCCCCAGACCTGTGAAGTGGCTTTTCTCCCCTCACCTTGCAGGGATGACAGTATGGGCTAGATGGCTTCTGATTGGTCAGCACCGTGATGGTGAGGCATGGAGAGGAGAGAAAGCCGTGGGGATTGCAAGTCCCCAGCTTTTCCTTGTGTGACAGCATGGGATCGGTACAGGGAGGTTTCCCGCACCGCTCCTTTGTGAACTCGGGCTATAACAAGCCTTGGGTTTACATAGGAGCTGTGGGGAAACGATTTGGACAGGAATCACACCACATTCTTGTTCAAATTGCATGCTATTTTTCACAGTGGAATTTGCGCCCATACATTTTGTATGGATGCAAATCACACTGCAAAGTATTGGCACTCTGTACTGGCAAGTACTTGACCGAGAGTATCGGTACTCGTTGAGCAAAATTGAGTATCTGTGCATCCCTGCTGACAGGTAGGATTTTTATGATGGAAGAGGCACTATTGTCACTTCTGTCATAAACCTTTATCCAGTGCCCAGCTCATCATCCATTTACAGCCCAATCTGTGCTCTGATGGAGTGGCATCATCACAGCTGAAGAGTCTGAACCTGGAAGGAAGACCAGGAGAAAATGAAGTGCCTG